TTATAAAGGAAATAAAGGGAGAAAAGGTCTATTTTTTAAAATGCTCACAATTCCAAGTAAAATTTTTATCGAAGAGTTATGTGGAAAAAAAAGCACTGTAGTTTGAGCCACTGACACGTTGTTCATTAATAGCAATGAATGTCAGTAATTGTTGGCACCCCAAGTTCTGTTCAGACATAACTAATAGAAAACAATTAAATTTAATGGCAGAATTAGAAAAGGACTTTGATTAGAACCTGTCAAGGCAGGATTCCTTAAGCACCAGTTTCTATGAGATCTATACCAAGTACACAATGAACAGGAAACTTACTTAGTAATTATGAGCTCGCTCCTCGGTCTAAAGCTTAAGGAGTCTAAATTCAGTCCTACGGTGACCAAAGCAAGGATGCCTGACATTCCCAAAAATTCCACTGCAGAGAGGAAAAAAAATAATAAAACTAAATGCATTCAAATCTACACACTGGGTACTTTACCTTGAGTCAGAACTTGGTGGGAAATTCAGAGTCATATTACTTGGGAAGTTGCTTCAATAGATGTCCAATCCTACCGACTAGGGGCTGGAAGACTTTTTCTGGAAGGGCCAGTGAGGAAATACGTCGTCTTGGTGGGCCACACCGTGCCTGTCGCAGCTGCTCAACTCGGTGGCTGGAGTGTGTAAGTTACAAAGGGAACATGTCGACGAATGAGTGTCTGATAAAACTTCACGTACAGACACTGGAACTGAAATTTCACACAACTCTGACATGCCATAAAATCCTCTTCTATTGTTTCGTGTGTTTTAAACCATTTTAAAGTGAAAAAATCATCCTTAGCTAACTATACAAAAAGACAGGTTTTACCCACAGGCTGTGGGGGCCAACCCTGCTGGAGACCATCATGGAGGACAGGGTGGATGGAAAAGCAGTTGAACAGCCTTTACCCAGCGCTCGGGGACTTTGTGCCACCTGCACTGGGTGCTGTGGCCGAGCTCAGGGCTTTCCTGCTGCCTGAAGCCTGCTTTTCTGCTGCCTGAGCCAGATCTCCCTAGTTGAAGCTGCAACTGGTTGAGCTCTAAACAAAGGCGCACGTGTAGTCTGCCGCAGGAAACCAAGCACAGGGAGGCCAGAATACCGAAAGCGCCAGTATTCCTAGGCTCCTTTCTAGGATGATTGAGAAAGTGGGGGACAGACGTGAAAGACAAGGAGGGAAGCGCTGCGGAGCAGGGCAGACCTGGCTGATCTGGGATGTGACCTCCTCTCTTTTCAGTAGTGTCCCTGCACCTGTCAAATTGTCAGTCATCCCTCATGTTACTGTTGTGAAGATTAGACACTGTGAAAAGTGCTCGGCACACTTTCAAAGCAATGAATACATGATATCACACGGATTGCTTTGTTTCCTCTATTGCTTAGTAAGTTAATACTATCGTTCACTTGAAGAGGACTTTATTATTCCTTTGGTTTATCAAACCACCTAAGTTCAATTAAGACTTGTTTTCATCTACTTAATTAACTAAATTAAACTTAAATAACCAGTGACCATAAAACCAGTACTGCAAACTTGGTAACAGGGAGACTGTCTCTCCAAATATTATTTCCAATTCTCCGTAATTACCATTTCTGGATCTGGAAGCCCATTATAGTCTTTTTTCAACCACAGTCATGACTTAGACACAATATCTTCAGTTAAGAAACCACTAAATACCTTTGTTTTAAAACTGATTTGATCTTACATGGTATAATCCCATACTGCATGTTATGAAGGCATACATTAGCATATGTATAATGTTTTTTGATATATGTTTATATATATATTTTTCAAAAAGCCTGAAAACATATCCCAAAATTTATTAGTGATTAAACCTAAAACATGAGTTTATAGTTGGCTCGTGTGTGTGTGTATGTGTGTGTGTGTGTGTGTGTGTGTGTGTGTGTGCTTCTTTGTTTTCAGATATTTTCTAAAATTCTACAATGAATTCTACAAATATTATTTTATATTAGAGAAAAGTCTTTTTCCTTAATTGCCAGAGGGCTCATGCACAGGCCAGACACACACACACAGAGACAGAGACAGAGAGAGAGAGGGAGCACTCCCTCCCCGTGGGGCATGGTCACATGGTAATCCCTCCTCCATTTCTCCATCCTGTTGGGTCTGTGGCATGTGCATGTGCCTGGTATGCTTTTCAAGACACTAAGGCTGGGATTTTAACTGTGGTAAAAGCTTTTTAAAAATTACAAATGGTGGGAACCAGCAGTTGGCGTAATGGCTATGTTGCTGGACTCCCATGTAGTCGACTGCGGTTCGCGTCCCGGACCCAGTGGCTTAAAACTCATGCCAGGCGTGTGTGCGTGTGTGCCCAAGATCCCGAGAGGAGAATGGAGGAGAAGGGCTTGCGGCGTGGCCATCCCCCCGGGGGGTGATTTCTCGCTTTCTGTCTCTATGTCTCTCTCTGGTGTGTGTGTGTGTGTGTGTGCTTCTTTGGTTTTTCAGATATTTTCTAAAATTCTACAATGAATTCTACAAATATTATTTTATATTAGAGAAAAGTCTTTTTCCTTAATTGCCAGAGGGCTCATGCACAGGCCAGACACACACACACAGAGACAGAGACAGAGAGAGAGAGGGAGCACTCCCTCCCCGTGGGGCATGGTCACATGGTAATCCCTCCTCCATTTCTCCATCCTGTTGGGTCTGTGGCATGTGCATGTGCCTGGTATGCTTTTCAAGACACTAAGGCTGGGATTTTAACTGTGGTAAAAGCTTTTTAAAAATTACAAATGGTGGGAACCAGCAGTTGGCGTAATGGCTATGTTGCTGGACTCCCATGTAGTCGACTGCGGTTCGCGTCCCGGACCCAGTGGCTTAAAACTCATGCCAGGCGTGTGTGCGTGTGTGCCCAAGATCCCGAGAGGAGAATGGAGGAGAAGGGCTTGCGGCGTGGCCATCCCCCCGGGGGGTGATTTCTCGCTTTCTGTCTCTATGTCTCTCTCTGTCTGGCAAGCGCGCGTGCCCTATAGTGAAAATCTCTCCAAAAAAAAATAAATAAATAAAAATTACAAATGGCATTACATTTAGTTATATTTTAAATGTATCAGAAGTTGTGAGAAGGTCATGGAATATGTGATTTTGAAAAGTAATGTTCATTAGCAGAAGCCCAAGTGGTTAAAATAAAATGTTGTAAGTTATTCTGATTCAAAAAAAGAAAGTATCAGAGAAAACTGATATTGAGAATATGTGGCTCTGCTTTAGACAAGGTAAAGATCCTTCTGATAAGGAAGATCAAAGGAGCTTTGCTTCTTAAAGGCAGCAGGATTCAGGAACGGATGCTTCCTGACTAGGGGACACTAATGTTAGGGCGATGACTGAAAGTGGTCACAGCCCAGACTGACAGCTTCGCAAAGAAACAGTGTGAGTATTCAGCTCTGGTTACAGGCAAGAAGGGGGTGCCTTGAGAATAGAGTTTTAAAACATAATAATACAACTGGCAAAACGTTCTCCTTTGAACTATCTCCGTTCCCCGGAAATCCCATGTAATGTCACTCCCTGACACTCCTTGTGATATGCTCTAGCCTGGATGGTCTACACCCATGCTCTTCGTTAAATTATACATGGCTACTCCTAACGTGCCTTCCTTTTATACCCTGTAGTGAGGCTTTCTTCCACGAGCTGCTGTACTGCTATTTCTAGCTGCACTGTCGACCAGCATCGCCCCAGAAGCACTGCCTCATGTCTGTAATTCAACATCTGTGCAATCGTTTGACGGCTTTGTTCCATGGCAAAGAACGAATGAGCTGGTGCACATGATTTCTGACAGTCCAGGCTCCGTGAAGGTCACACAGTAGAGACAAAAATGGAAACTTCTACATGTGTGTGAACAGGTGATCGAGGCCCCAACCAGGTGCTCCCTGGAATTAAGCCCGATGATGCTGGGCACGTGGTGAAAGAAATGAACAAAATTAGGTAACATGACTCAAATATAACACGAGAGTGTGTAAATAAGACTTTTACCTACGTTTTAGCTTTTCAGCAGTGGAACTTCTCCTTCTAACAGTGTCTGACTTTACTGTCAGGAATGTATTCAGTATAAGAATACAGGACTGGGCCAGTGGGTGACATGGTGGTTGGGCTTTGCACTCCACATGGCCAACTGCAGTTTGAGTCCTGGCCCTGGGAGCTTGATTTCTCACCTCTTTCTCTCTGGTCAAATAATAATAAAAAAAATTAAAATAATAATAATAAATGAAATGGAAACAAATGGTTCTTTAGTAAGGGGAAAAATAAAGGACTGCCTGAACTTGGGTTTGAATTCCTGAAGCAGAGGAACAGTAATGGCGACGGAAGGTATATTCATGTCCCCGGGCTGCAGTAACTGAGAACTGGATGGCGTAAACCACAGGAAGGCATGGTCTCACAGTTCTGGGGGCTGGAAGTCCCTGGTCAGGTATCAGCAGACTTGGTTCCTTCTGAGACTGGGAAGGGAATCTTTCTGGGACTCTCTCCCAGCCTCTGGTAGCCTCAGGTGACCCACGCCTTGTGGCTGGAGTTCTGCCTGCCTTCACGTTGTCCTCCCTCTGTGCGCACAAGTCTGTGTTCCAATTCTTTGTTTGTAAGGACACAGTCATAGTAACTTAGAGCCCCCCACGAGCACCTCTTCACTTGACTGTGCAGACTCTATTTCAAATACACTCACATTCCCAGGTACTGGGGGTTGGGACCTCAGCATCTTCTTGGAGGACAAAATTCTGCCTCTCACCGGAGGCTACCTAGCAAGCTTGCATTCTGGAGTGGGCCACAGTGCCGCCCAACCCTCAGGAGCCCTGACCCTAGGATGCATTTAAGCCTGAGGGGATGATGCTGAAGGCCTACCTTCATCCCGTGGTTCCCACCCTGCAGGAAGCCTTACCTGGACAAAGGCAACAAAGGTGAAGACATTTGCTCTCTGCTTAGAAGACGCTACAATCTCACAAACATAATTTCTAAGGAAAATCATCAGTGCCTTTAGGCTGGTTTTTAAGAGACCTTGTACCTGCTCAGGAAAGTTCATCGTTAAGTTTTCAGTCATTTTATGAGCCAGCTATTGACCAAGGCTCTCCCTGATATCAGTGATGATAGAGGCATTTACACCAGAAAAACTGCCAAACACGACAAATCAGAGCTCGCCCTCTTACCCCAGCCCTCCTGAGTCAGTTTACCACCCTACTGCTGCCTAACTTCTTCTCCTTGTTTTTTTTTTAAATTATTTTATTTATTATTATTATCATTATTATTTTTCAGTTTGATCAGAGAGAGACAGAGAGAGAGAGAGAGAGAGGAAGTGAGAAAGCAAGCCACCAGGTCCGAGACTTGAACCGTGTTAGGCCATGTGGGAGTCCAGCGCCTTTAACCATCCCACTTGCCGGCCCATTCTTCTCCTTGTTTTACAGGTGAAGAAACAGGGGCCCCAAATAGCTAAAATACTTCCCAACTCTTTAAAGTTACAAGTGGCTTGACAGTTTAAAGATCTTATTCTCAACAGCTATATGAATTAGACACTTGTATAGAAATCAGCTGCAAACATTTTATAACTCTGTTTAGTTAGCACAAACATGTAATCAGATCTCAATTCTTAAACACAGTTTGTGTAAACATTTGACTTGCTTTAAATTGAGCCGAACTGATCAAGCTTTTTCACTCATACCTAAATGAGCGTAAGGAATGATGCTGTGTAAATGGAAACAACCTTATCCCAATTTTAAAAGGCATATGTTGGGATTGAGAGTCTTGTTCTAATGTGAAAATGAAGCTGAAATATTCTAGGAATACCCATCCTGTCCCCACCCCCAACCTATACCCATATACTTGTTTAGAGAAATGCTACCCCCCTGACTGGAAGCACCTCCATTGTTTAGAAGGAGATGGGAAGACAATCAACATTTGTTGACTGTTCTACCTTGAGCCCTGTGGTGTGCTGGTAAATGCTGAAAACTACTTCTCTGATTACAGATGATAGATGATAGATAGATAGATAGATAGATAGATAGATAGATAGATAGCTATAGATATAGATTTAAAAAAAAAAAAAGTCCTGATTTGTGGTGTCCTCCAACGTTCATGGTGTAAAGATTTCTACCATGGACAATTTCAAACTACCAACGTGGTATCATTTGACCATGAAGCTGGGAAGAGACGTGCATAATTGCTTCTATACGGTGGTAAGAGCTGTCCCTAGCACAACCACTTGAGCAAATCACATAACACACCTTGCTTCATTAATTCTTGCGATGTCCTCTATAAATCAGGTCATTGTTCTACTGCTTATATCGATGAAGAAACTGAAGCTTAGAGAGATTAAGTAATTTTCCCAGGTTACCATGCCAATAAATTGTAGAACTGGGATTTGAACTCAGGTTTGCCTAACTCCAAAGCTCTTCAAGGACTAGTACTAGTTTATTCAACTAATTACTATTAGGCACATGGCAGGCTCTTTTTTAAAATTTAGGGAAAAAAGAAAAACTTTTTTAAAGAATTATTTCATTTAACTTTATTATTTATTTATTTAAATTTGACCCGAGAGGGATATATATATATAGAGAAAGCCACCAGGTTTGGGACTCGAACCATGGTTGCTCGTGTGGGAGTTCATGGTAAATGTTGAAAACCTTAACCACCATGCCACCTACTGGCCCCCATGGCAAGCTCTTTATTTGCCTGAGGGGAGATAGAAAAGAGAACACATAAAGAGGACTAAAGGACATATTCAGGAACTCACAGTCTGGTAGGGAGATTAATTTAAAATATTTCTTCAGGGACCAGCAGGTAGTGTGGTGGTTAAGGTGCTAGACTCCTATATGCTGACTGTGGTTCGAGTTCCAGACCTGGTGGCTTGTGTTCTCACTTTCTCTCTTGTCAAAAAAAAACTCTCTTTCTTTTTTTTAAAAAAAAAAAAAAAAAAAAAAAAAAAAAAAGTTTCTTCAGACATTTAAGGCATCTGTAAGAGCTTCACGATGAAGAAAAGAAATGAAGAAAGTTAAAGGAGACAAGCCTTTTAGTGGATGCTCCCTGTGATTTCACTGATTCTGGGCTCGCAATTTATCTGTAGAAGAGGCAATGCTTTTAGAGGACTAGAGGTGAAAAGTGTAGTAATCAACCTCTTGGTACCTGAGGTCTTTCATGGACGTCAGTTGGTTTTCTGTGAGAGCAAAAGCAGGGTTTGACAGGGACAGGCCACCGATACGATGGCAGTCGGGAACAGGGTATCTCAGGCCAGTAGACACTCCAACTCTCAATGTCACTGTACAGCTAAGGTCTGCCAGTGGGGGGGGGCACTCTCACTCCTATGATTAGTCCCCTCTCCTGCTTCTCCTCCAGACATAAAGGGACCTGAATTCTCCCTCTCCTCTCCTGACTCCTAGCCTCAAATAAGGGCCACTATTTCTACGGGCCTCTCAACTTGGTCCCCATTGAATCAAAGGCTAGAAAAGACCTCTCCCAGTGTTCTCATTTTACAGGTGAGTTCTCAGGGTTGGGGTTGCGTCCTCTTGCACAGAACTGTGAGTGAGTACCTTTAAGGTCAACGGAAGAGCTCAAAAAGAATAAGGAAGGAAGCACAAGGAGGAGTTCAAAGCAGAAGGGACACACAGTTGAAATAAAAAGAATAATAAGAGAGACCAGAAAAGTGCTAGAGGTGGCAGTAAGATAATATGGCAAGATACACAGAGGTTTTGCAAAAATGAGGAAGCAGCTGGAAAGAAGTAACCAGATTCAAAACTGGGGAAAATACAGATTCGCATGCTACTTTTAGTACACGTTTTTGTATTGTTTCTGCCTTACCGATATAGAAGGTCATGTACACCATCGACAAGCAGAAAATGATGTCAGTCATCGTGTTGCTAAAAGGGTCAGTCAGCATATGTTGAATGATTTTTGCACACCAATATCCACATATTATGCTTCCAAAAACATCCAAGAAGACTCCTATGAATATGTATAACTCTAAAAAGAAGAAAAAAAAAAAGAAAGAAAGAACAAGAAAAGAGGAGGAGAAAAAAGAAGCAAAGCGCTGAGCTGTAATTTTGTGTTCTTTCACTGGCACATTCGGGTCTAGGCACTGTGGTTTGCTCTTGAGATTTTCCAAGGGAACTAGCTCTTCAGCAAGTCGGAGGATCCCAAAAAAGCCTAGCAAAAGAGGCTCCCTCGGGCTAGCTTTCCTTTATCGTCTGAGCCTGAGGTTCATTTATCCCGGGAGAGAAGATTCAGATGTCCTCTGAAAGTAGGCAGGATGTGTAAATGTGAAAAACCTGGAACAAACTAGAAAGCGAATGTCCGGACAAAAGACATCCACTCAAACCTCTTATGCACTATGCCAGGGACATATCTGGAGTTCTTGCCAACCCCCAGTCATCTTAGCACCCCTGCCCTTAGCCCAGGGAGCATTTGGGAAGTAGAGGGGAGAAATTTTCTTTCTTTCTTTTTGGTAAAAAATTTTTTTTCATACTTTGTATTTGTTAAGGGATACTTTCATTAGTCACAGTAACTGGGCATGCTGGTGGCAGTGCATGTAGGTATCAGGGTAGCCCTAAATAAGCAAGTCCTAAATGACAATTGTCCCATCCCAAAGCCTACAGCTCCCTTGTTGAGAAACACCGCAAACTCCTCCTTATCCATCAATAGTTCTTTCTCCTTTTAGCACATGTCTTCTTTTGTAACTATCACAGAACTATATGAGGAGGACACCTTTTCCCACTTTATGCTGTGCTTTCCTCCCCTTTCTTCTCCACCAGTAATACACCTGGGACGCAGTAAGGCACACGCTCCATATCCCAGGGACCATGAGCCACGTGAATGTGGCTATTGTAACCTGCTAGAATCTGACTGTCCAGGACTGCAGGAGCCATTCTGCCCTCGCTCACAGATGCAAATTCAGGACCCAGCCAAGTCTTAATATCCAAGCATTGATATCCAGATTGATCCAGGGAAGAAGTAAATCTGAACCAGCTAATGCAATTGATGTGTGCACTGATTGCAAATATGCATATTAAGAGAGATAAAACTGTTTTGTTTTTGTTTTTGTTTTTACTGTTCTTGCTCAAGGGGACCCACAGATGGTAATTGCTTTCTTATGGCCTGATATGTCATTTTAATGGGTCCCAAAGTAAAGTGTAAGGAAAGCAGAAAAGTATCAAATAGAGACATCTTGACTATATTTTCATTTCAGTAACAATGATTTTAGAAAGTATATAGAAGGAAAAAAATTGACCTACCTCTATACATAGAAGTATAGGTTGTGTTGCTCCGAAAAAGTCCAAAGAAAATTGCTGCAAGGCTACAAATGATCAAAGATTCTCCTCTGATGATATCAGCATATATTTTAGGAATGCCTGGAAAAAGGAAATAAAAAATGTAATTTAATGTAGCCCATGAAAAGGATGCTTTTGTGTAAAAGAGTAGTAAAATAACATGATGGAGAAAAAGAAGGCAACCATGAGTAGGAAGGGTCTGCAAGACAATCCTAATCGCTATTTTTTAAAAAAATATTTATTATTTATCATTTTTCAATTTGAGCAGAGAGACACAGAGAGAGAGAGAATGGAGAAAGAGAAGGAAAGTGTGAAAGCAAGCCCGCCAGGTCCAGGACTCGAACCAGGGTCAGCCATGTGAGAGTCCAGCACCTTAACCACCATGCCACCTAATTGCTATGTTTTAAAAAGGATTATTTAATTTTATTTATTGTTATTATTTTTTAGTTTGACTGGAGAGTGAGAGGGAGAAAGGGAAAGTAAGAAAGCAAGCCACCAGGTCTGGGACTCAAACTGCAGTCAGCCATAAGGGAATCTAATGACTTCACTACGCCCCCTCCTGGCCCTACTTGCTATTTAAAAAATCTCTCCCTGTGCCTTCTGTATTTCCAATAGCAAAGGAACATGGCAATTGACCATTGTATTGTTCACTGCTTCAACCATGCTTGCACTTCAGAATGAGACAAATATGTCTCAGGACGCCACATTTAGCTTGAATAAATATAGATTAGACCTCAAAAGGACGTTGTTTTAGAAAGGAGAATAAAATGTGACCCAGCAGTTCTCAAGAAAATTGAAAACGTTATGTCTATATAGTTTCACATGAACATTCATAACAATCTATCTCACATGAATGTTCGTAGCCAAGTGGAAGCAGCTGTGTCCATCAGCTGATGAATGGATAAACGCATGTGGCATAGCTGTGCAATGGGACTGCCCTCCACAGAGAGGAATGAAGGAGTAACAGGCATGTCACAATAGGACGAGACCTCGAAAACATTATAGTAAGTGAAAGAAGCCAGGCACAAAGGCCACATATTGTATGGTTTGATTTCCATTAAATATCCACAATAGGCAAATACAGAGGCTCAAAATAAATACTTTATTGCTAGGGGCTTGAGTAGATGAAATTCCACATCTAAATTTCTATCTGGTGTCTTTTGCCTAAAGGACTTCTCTAGCATTTTTTTTTTTTTTTTGTGGGTAGTGCAGATCTGCTGATGATAAATTCTCTTTAGTTTTTGTATGTTTAAGAATGTCTTTGATACACCTTCACTTTTGAAAGATATTTTCACTGAGCATTGAATTCATTTAAAGAATTTTTAAATTTAATTTTATTTATTCATTTATTTATTTTATTTTAATTTGACTAGAGAGGGACAGAGGGAGACAGAAAGTGAGACAGCAAGGTGTGAGGGCCGGGACTCAAACCTCAGTCAGCCATATGGGAGTCCAGCACCTTTAACCACCATGCCACCTGCAGGTCCCCATCACTGAATTCCAAGTTGGTAGTACTTTTCTCTTAGTACTCAAAAAAATGTTACTGCAACATCTTTTGATTTGCATTTGAAGAAAAGTCTGTTGTGGTTATTATTTTGTTCCCTTGTAAAATAATGTATTTTTTCCCTCTGGTTGGTTTTAATTTTTTCTCTTTCTCACTGGTTTTAAGAAATGTGATTTGTATGTGTCTTGGTGTAATTTTCTTTGTGTTTCTTGGGCATGAAACTTCTTGAATCTGTAGCTTTAGTTTTCATTAAAGTCAGATATTTTTCATCCATTATTTCTTCACATTTTTTGTTCCACCATATCTCTTTCTTCTTCTCTGAGAACTTCTGTATTTGGTCCCCTGAAGATGTCTCACAGTTCACTGGTGCTCAGTTCATTCCCCCTCTCTCTGCTTCAATTTCAATCATTTCTATTGCTATGTCTTCAAACCCACTAATCCTTTCTCCTACAGTGTGTAATCTTCTGATAAGCCCATCCAGAGAATTTTTCATCTCAGACATTGTGGGTTTTGTCTCTAGAAGTTTGATCTATGTCTTTTTTATATCTACCCTGTCCAGTGGGATGCTGATAAACCAGCTCTCCAAAATTGAAAAAGACCTATTTGTAGTGTTCGCCAGTTTCATAAGTAAACACTCCATCCATAGCCAACTCTAAGCTACCAATGAGTTAATGACTGGCTTATAAAATTCTTGATTGTTTAACAATTGGATTTCATAAGCTGATTTGAGTAAGTTCTATCCCATGCTCTATCTTTCCTTTAACTTTTTGAATATATGGGATATGGCTTTAATTGTCTTAATGTTGCTGTCTAGTGAGTCTACCATCGGCATCATTGCTGGGTCTACTTCTATTTATTAGTTTTGTACTCTATGAGTTATCTTTTTGGCTCTTTGCATACCTGATAATTTTTCACTGGATGACAGAATTGTGTATGTTACCTTATTAGGTACACATATTCTATAAATATTCTTGTGCTTTATTCTGCTATGTAGTTAAATTCCTTTGAATCTTTTGAGCTTGCTCTTTTTTTAAAAAGAGTTATTTTATTTGACTTTCCTTTCTTTCAATTTGACCAGAGAGGGGCAGAGTGAGAAAGAGAGAGAGAGAGAAAGTGAGAAAGAAAGCCACCAGGTTCGTGCCTCAAGCCATGGTCGGCCATGTGGAAGTCCAGTGCCCTCAACCACCATGCCACCTGCTGGCCCCCTGACCCTTGCTCTTAAGCATATGGAGCAGCAGAGCAGCCTTTAGCCTTAGGCTAATTCTCCCCACAACTCAGGAAATGTCTGAGTCCTCTACCTGATATTTCATACATGAGGTTTGTCCACTTAGGTTGTAGGAAGCATGAAGAGAATTGCCTCCTCTGCTCCTTCCGGTCTTTGCTCTCTCCAGTCATGGGCACTTTCTTCTCATGCATTCACTAATGAGTGATAATTACTCACTCAAAGACTCGAGGGGGGAGCTTCTGGCTTCTGCAGAGCCCTGAAATACCCACATCAGCACAGGCTTCATCTTTGCAGTAATTTGTCCTGTGCACTGTAGCTGCCTTGGCCCTTCTCAATTCTCAGCTCTGGACTCAAGTCAAGGAAACTACCAGGCTCCCCCTGGGCTATCCTTCTCTTGAGACCTGGACACTCTCTCCAGGGAATAAGCTGAGACAAGAGCAATCCAGGTTATAGCTCTCCTGTTCCTTCTCTCAGGGGTCACTGTCTGCGCTACCTCATGTCCAATGCTAAGAACTTTGTTTTTCCAATATATATTTTGTCCTGCTTAGATGTTTCAGGCAGGAAGGTAAATCCAGTCCCTGCTACCACATCTTAACCACAAGAGCATATAAATAGAGGGACCTCACATCTCTGAGTTCATAGAGCAGTACGTTACCAGCCCTGGACTTCGGTTATTGAAGAGTATAAACCCCAAATCGAAGAACATAGATCCATGTTGGTACATGATGCAGGTACAACTTGGTGCAGAGAGGACTGTGTAACTACATAGTTTTTTAAAAGCAGCTCTTTAGTATAATCCATTGCATCACACCCCAACTGATCACATTAAATGACACTTAAAAAGAAATCCAAACATAACTGGACTTGACTAAGGGACTGCTTTTTTTAAATCTCAGTTTTAAAACGCATAATACTTGAGTAAATACAGCTGAGTTCTTATTATTTCTAAGAATACTACCTAGTTTAAAAGAAAGGGACTATCTGCTCTTCAGAGTGTAATTTGACAGTGTGAAACAGCACACTATTCAAAAAACACTATCTATGTTTTTTAAATGTCTCCTGAATGGTAGAGGAAATGCCAGGAGTACTCAGGGTCTGGATATGGATTAATATTTAGGCTGTTTTTGTTCTTCCTGCTTCATTATTGCAGCCGACAAAGACAGCAAAGATAGGAAAAGACAAGAGAAGTCACAATCACCTCATCTTACTCCTTGTTAACTTGACTGTGACAGAAGGCACAAACGTACGGCTTCAATAGGTTTGAAGATCATGAGAACATCGGCTTTAGCTGGTGAAGAAATCTTTGCATTCTCAAAGATGCAGTGATTTAACCAAGGGCAAGTAAAGAAAAAAGTTTGGTATATGAAATTTGGGATTTGGCTTATGGTTCTCTTTAATAGTAAACCTTTGAGAATTACTCCCCCCCCTTCTTCCTAGGTTTAACTTGGAATTAACATATTGATGTCTTGTACAATTTGGAAAGGGAAAAATATACATCATCTCTAAACCCATGACCAAGGTATAACCACTGAACACGTAAGTCTTTGATCTAAGCATACAATTACTCAATTGAGATCATATTAAACTTTGTATTTATTTCTTCACAAGATCCATTGTTCAGATTTACATTTAAGAGAAAAATCATTCGAGCTGTATGTGTCTGTGTGTTTCCAGTTTTTCCTATAGGCTGTGTACACTCGCCAGAGAAAGACAAGAGAGAGCGAGAAATCACCGCCCAGGGGCTATGACCACACGGCAATCCCTTCTCCTCCAGCCTCCCCCTGGAATTTTGGGCATCCCTGGAGTGATCAAGTGACTGGGTCTGGGACTCAAACCACGTAGTCAGCCATGATGGGTCCAGCTCCTAAACCTCCTCACCACCTGCTGTCTCCACTCCATGTGCTCTTTTGAAGCAGGTAATGAATACGTAAGTTTCTCTTAACTTGCATCTGACCATCCACTACTTTTGCAGAGGTTCAGTCCCCTCAGATTTAGGTTGTTTAAGATTCACACTGTAGATGGGCAATCATTTAAAGTGGTATGGGACCAGCGGATGGCATAATGGTTATGTCACTGGACTCCCACCTAGTTGACTACAGTTCGAGTTCCAGATCCAGCAGCTTAAAACTCACGCCGGCCGTGACTTGAGTCCTGGACCCAGAGGCTTAAACTCACACCGGGCATGTGTGCGTGCATGCCCAAGATCCCAAGAGGAGAATGGAGGAGAAGGGATTGCGGCGTGGCCATCCCCCCCAGGGGGTGATTTCTCACTTTCCGTCTCTCTGTCTCTCTTTCTGGCAAGCACACATGCCCTATAGCAAAAATCTCTCCAAAAATAATAATAATAATTCACACTGGGCACGTGTACATGCGTGGCCAAGATCCTGAGAGGAGAATGGAGGAGGATAGATTGCAGCATGGCCACCCTCCCTGGGGGATGACCACTCAATTCTGTCTCTCTGTCCCTCTGGCAAGCACACGCACCTCAAAGCAAAAATCTCTGAGGAAAAAAAAGTGTTATTCACTTAGTAGACATTGTAACTGTGTACTGTGATAATTTAGGCATATAACAAAATGTAGGTTTTACTTAAAAAAAAATAGATGATTGGGCTGAGTAGGTGGCATAATGGTTAAGGCCAACTTCAGTTCAAGTCCCAAACCCGGCAGCCTGCCAAGCACATGTGTGTGCGTGTGTGTGTGTGTGTGTGTGTGTGTGTGTGTGTGTGTATCCCAAGAGGAGAATGGAGGAGAAAGGATCACTGCATGGCCGTCCTCTCTTGGGGGGCGAGATTTCTCACTTTGTATTCTCCATATTTCTCTGTCTCCCTGGAAAGTGCATGTGCCCTATAGCAAAACACTGTCTAATTAAAAATACAAAGAAGATGTTTTATGGCAATTATGTAGAAGTAGGCTGTTTTCAAGAAAAGACCATTTATCTAATTCACACCAAGTAAATGTATGGTAGACCTGCAAACACTAGAAACAGCGATTTTTCCCTATCAAAACAAGTCAAATTTGTTTTATAAGGAAAAAAAAGCTACTGGATTCAGAACCACCTAACACCTGAGCATTAGTGACACAAAGGGAATATCAGTTAAGGGACAGCTAAATACCTTCACTAGTTTCGTTTTAAAGAAATAAATAACTCAGGCCAGCTGGTGGCATAGTAGTTGAGGCAGCTGGATCCCATATGACCAGTTGTGCACTTTGAGTCCCAGACCCAGCAGCTTGAGAAACACACTAGGCACATGTCCAGGCATGCCCACAATCCCAAGAAGAGCTTATTCATTCATTCATTTTATTTTAATTTGACCAGAGAGATACAGAGAGAGAGAGAGAGAGAGAGAGAGAGAGAAAGAGGGAACCAGGTCCAGGACTCAAACCATGGTCAGCCATGTGGGAGTGTCTAGCGCCTTAACCACCACACCACCTGCTGGTCCCATTTCAGAGTGAAACCATCATTTACCTTACCATATATTTGAGCCATTGGAAAAGTCATGGTGGATTTTTGCATAGATAACATAGAAAAATACATCATGACGACCCAGTAAGACGGAAAGCAGTGCAGTATCCCAGATCCTGCTTTTATTGATTAATTCATCTGTGTGCTAGATTACATCCTTGCCGTTTTTCTTTGAAATAAACTACAATGCCTCCTACTACCTGTTCAACCTTACCTATTCCAAAATGGAGGCAGTTCTAACAAGAGGTAGAAAGGAAGACCTTGGAAATGTTTCAATACGGGCTCTTTTTTTTTTCACTCTGCTCTTTATTTTTACTCCTTATTGCTAAACACACTCACCAACTTGATTTTCTACCTTACAGCTTAGAATGCAGTGGAATGGATTAAAAATGCCCATTTTTGTTGCCTTCTCAAAAGATTACATTCTCTTCTTGAAACGACATCTTTTGAGATTAAAATTGATGATGTTTATCTGGATTCTCACTGGTGATCTTATTTAACTCCTTCAAGTCAAAAAGTGTTCTGCCCCCAGGAAAAAGAGCATGAATTGCTACTCTGCTTTGTGAGCAATTCATTCAAGATATAATCAAAAGAAAATAACCCTCCTTCTGTCTTCATGGTGGTTAAGGTGCTGGACACAGTTCAAGTCCTGGACCTGGTGGATTGCTTTCTCACTTTCTCTCTCTCTCTGTGTTTCTCTCTCTGGTCAAATTAAAATGAATAAATAAATAACTCCTAAAAAAAAAAAAAAGATAACAGAGGGAAATAAGTTTGACATACTGCTATGGTTTAAAGTATCACCCCCAAAGTTCAACTGTTAGAAATGACTCTAACTCAGTGCAACAGTGTTGGGAGGTGGGGCCTCACAGGACGTATGTTGGTCATGAGGGATTCAGGGATTTATGTCACTAGTGCAGGAATGGGTTTATTATAAAAGTGAATTCAATCCCTCTCACTCTCGCCCTCTCTAGCCCTCTGGCCTTCTTCCATGGGATGATGCAGCAAGAAGGCCCTCCCAAATGTTAGCCTCTGGTTCTTGGACTTCCCAGCTTCCAGAACTGTTGGAAATAAAATTGATTTTATTTATAGATTACATAGTCTCCAGTATTCTGTTACAACAACACAAAAACCGACTGAGTCACATACCAGTATTTTTCAATGAATTCACAGAATGAAGAGGATCTGTAATGCCAAGTGTGATGCCAAAGAATAGGCAAGATTGCAAGTCCCACGAATCCTTATTGAATTTCGGAACCACATATCCAAGTGTGACGAGTGCTGTGGAAGTGCTAATTAATCCGATCAACAAGACCTGTAAACCAATTCATAACACAGTATTCGATTTAACATCTAGGATGACATGACTACATTTACTTGGGTCCTAAGAATTATATCTCCATTTTTATATTTTATACAATCATTCTGAAAGATAGCTTTAAAATAGATGGTGGTTTAATGACCTGCCTCAAATAAACCATCCCTTTCAAAGAAATAAAATTTTAGTTTACTGTTCAAAAGACCAATTCAGCCATCTTTTAAATATTTTTTTTTGAAGAGGTTTTTGCTATAGGGTGTGTGCGCTCGCCAGACAGACAGAGAGAGACAGAGAGATAGAAAGCGAGAAATCGCCCCCTGGGGGGGGGGGGGCCCCGCCACAATCCCTTCTCCTCCATTCTCCTCTTGGGATCTTGGGCACGCACACACACACGCCCGGCGTGAGTTTAAGTCACAGGGCCTGGGACTTGAACCTCGGTCAACTACATGGGAGTCCAGCGACATAGCCATTATGCTAACTGCTGGTCCCAAGCCATCTTTCATGTTTAATAGTTCTCAATAGCAAAACGTCCTTGAAATAAAACTCGAATTCCTCCTGTTTCTGTGTAAGAGATAGCCTGGTTTCTGTAATGTTGATAAATCATTACTGACATATTGTGGTTTGTACATGCCACAAATTTAAATACCAAGACTCTAAAATATTCCGTGAAGATTCGCTTCTTTGCCTTTCATTAATTGTAAAATAGTTCTCCAATAGGAAGGAGGAGGGAGGCCCTGAAATGCTTGATAGTAAGTAACATACTCAGTTTTCCTTTTTTTTTTTTTTTTTTGGAAAGATTTTCGCTATAGGGTGCATGCACTCGCCACACAGAGAGAGAGGCAGAGAGACAGAAAGCGCGAAATCACCCCCCAGGGGGGATGGTCACGCCGCAATCCCTTCTCCTCCATTCTCCTCTTGGGATCTTGGGCACGCATGCACACGCACCCGGCGTGAGTTTTAAGTCACCGGGTCCGGGACGCGAACCACGGTTGACTACGTGGGAGTCCAGTGACATAGCCATTACGCTAACTGCTGGTTCCCCATACTCAGTTTTCTAATTGCTATGAATATACCATTTATGCCCCCTTAGAAGAAAATATTCATCTTCTTGGGGCTGGCAGATGGCATGGAGGTTAAGGCGCTGGACTCTCACATGTCTGACCATGGTTCAAGTCCCAGACCTGGCTGTTTGCTTTCTCACTTTCCCTTTCTCTCTCTCTGGTCAAATTAAAAATAAATAATAACAACAAATACAATGAAATACATAAACAACTTTAGAAAGAAAATATGTATCTTCCAAAATATCCATAAGGACAAAAAATATATATTTTTCAATCTTTTCTTATTCTGTCTTTTGTTCTACTTTCTGTGAGATTTTTACAACTTTCTCTTTAAAATCTTTATTGAATTAGTTGACTTCAGTTATCATGTTTCTGCATAGGAAAACCCAATTTTCCCAGCACTTTTTGTTGAAGAGACTATCTTTTCCCCAGTGAATGTTCTTTGTGTCTTTGTGGAAAACCAGTGGGTTGTATTTAAATGGATTGATTTCTGAGATCTCTATTCTGTTCACTTGATCTAAGTGTCTGCCATGTGGCAGTCCAGCACCTCAACTACTGTGCCACCTGCTGGCCCCAAAGAGAACATCTTTAAAGAGAAAAAAAGACGGGTGCCTGGAAAAGAATGGCAATTAGATTAATAGTATTGTAGTCTCGAAAGCAATGATTAAGCTCAAGTATTATTCAGACCGAGGCAAAATAAATACATTTCAGAGAAAGAAAGCCTACAAAACAAAGAATGTTGACCATTCACAGATTTCTAATGAAACCTCTACTGCAAAAATTCTGGGAAAAGGAAGCTAAATTCAGAAAGACAGAGTAGGAAGCAAGAAGGAATAGGGAGTAAAGAAACGGAAACTGATGAGTACATGGATGAGTATAGACAAGCATCGGTATCTAAACCCTTTCCGGTGGTAACAGTAATGATGATGACTAATTTCAGGGATCGTATGCTATGTCAATAATGTAATCAAATACAACAGAAAGGATGATTGGAGTTAGCGTACAAGATCTTGCATTATTTGGAAAAAGGTAGAGATATTGATTAGCTTTAGATTTACCACATCAAGTAGAATTACCAAAATTTAGTTTAAAAATATATGTGGTCAGACACTCGGCGGTGGCCACTGCATAGACCAGCCTCGCAACCACGTCTGACACACCTGATATGGCTGAGATCGAATTCGGTAAGTCGAAACTGAAAACGACAGAAACGCAAGAGAAAAACCCACTGCCTTCCGAAGAGACAATTGAACAGGAGAAGCAAGCCGGCGAATCCTAACGAGGCCACATTCCACAGCACCGCCTTTATTTAACTGCCTTTAGCGGTTTAACTCTGTGAGATGCAGAGAGGTCGGATCAAGTTTAAATGACTGTGCTGCCCCTTTCACGTCAAAGAACGGAGAACCACTGATGACAAGGCGCCTGCCTCCCCCATCTGCTGGTCTGGCTGGCAGCGAAGGAAAAGAACTTGCATGCTGGTGAAGGAAGAAGCTGGGTGGGACGACAGGGAAATGTAGAGTAAAATCCAAGCTGGTCCAAGGTGTCCTGCAGGCTGTAAAATGCAGTTTAATCAGAGTGCCATTTTTTGTTCAAATGATTTTAATGATTGGAATGCACAATTGTTTAAATACACAAATAAAAAGTTTTAAAACCTGAAATATATATATATATATGTGTGTGTGGTCCAGCCTAGGTGACAAATTCCACAGCATACAGGACTGCTGTGCTGGAAGCCACACGGCTGGCCACAGGTTCGGATTCCCATCCAAGTCAACCTGAAGTACACATGCGTGCCCAACATCCAGATGACCTAGAGGGCTGGAGGAAGGGAATTTAACTGTGACTAGACTGTGTCAGGGATTCTCTCTCTCTCATTCTGTCTGTCCCTCTCTCTCATGCAGTCTATCATGAATACATTTTCTTAAGCATGTGAAACCACTAAAAGACTTGTATTATTTAGGAATATGGCAGTTTGGGTTGCATGTAACAAAAACCAGCACTTTTACTATCAATAAATAGATTTCCTTTTTTTTTCCTTAAGTAGTCAGAAGTCTAGAACAAGCAATGTTATGCTAGCACAGAATTCCCTATACCCTGGAGAATCCAGGCTCTTTTTTTCCTTTCTATTCAACCATCCTTAATCTGTGTCTTCATGTTTACTACTTTACAATACCGAAATGTATGTTCTCCCTCCAGTCCATTCATTGACTCCAGGCAGAAAGAAATGTGAAATAAAAGACAAAAAGTTCACGACAGCTGATTTGCCTCTCTTCTAAAGGGCTTTCTATGAATCTCATTCAGTAAACGCCAACGGCCAACACCTAACACTTTTTGTTTTTTCCCAAACTGTCTTCTTGGGCTACTCTAGGCAATATAGTATTATACATGGGACTTACTGCCATACCAAACAACGATGACGAATTATTAAATTTCTGTTAGTACCAAAGAAAGAGAGAAAGCATAATGAATAAACATTCAGCAGCGTCTGCCACAAAACTAGAAACAGAATGGAAAGATGTTGAACAAGTAGCAAAAGGAGCACATGGGACAAAGAAACAATCAAATCAATGGAATGAGAAAGAGAAACGAGGAAAAGCATGGCAAATATAAAGCACAAAGCATTATGTTAGAAAGAGGAAAACCTATTTACTTTTTAAACTATTTTTTGTCTTATTTACATACATTAAAATTCACTCTCCTGGTATACAGTTATACAAGCCTTGATAAATACATAGTCTTTAACCATGACCACAATTAAGAAGCAAAACAAATCCACTGGCCCCTGAAATGTCCTCACTACTGGGTGGAGTTCCCTGGGAGTCAATGATCTGTTCAGTTTTGCTTCTCGAGAAGGTCTATTAGTGGAATGACACAGTGTGTGCCCTTAGCATTGGCTTTCTTTTTCTTAGCATAAAACATGTTAAAGTCTTCAGTGTCGTGCCCATCAATACTCTATTCCTTTTTTATTCCTAGGTAATATTACATGGTAAGATGTTCCATAATTTGTTCATTCATTCATCAGATAAAGAATATTACGTTGTTTCTAGATTTTTGAAACAACGAATAAAGCTACTGAAAAGATTCACAAAGAAGCTTCTGAGTGAACGTAAGTTTTTATTGCTCTTGGATAAATACATAGGGATGGGCTTGCTGGGTCATATGGCAAGTAGATGCTAAGCCGTTATGCTAACTGCTGGTCCCTCAAATCTGTCTTTAATTAATACATATCAATAGACTAAAACTAGTCTTATAAAAACCAGCAGAGATTCTTGACTGAGATAAAATAACAAACTCCATCTGTATACTATCAAAAAGATATCTAAACATAAAGACACAATAATCTTGAAAATAAAAAGATAAAGTATCGCAGGCAAATACTAATCAAAATAAAGCTGGCATAAGACCAGTAGATGGCGTAATGGCTATGTCACTGGACTCCCATGTAGTTGACTGCAGTTCGAGTCCCGGACCCGGTGACTTAAACTCACGCTGGGTGCATGTGCGTGCGTGCCCAAGATCCTGAGAGGAGAATGGAGGAGAAGGGATTGCGGTGTGGCTATCTCCAGGTGATTTCTCGCTTTCTGTCTCTCTGTCTTTCTCTGTCTTCCTGGCGAACACATGTGCCCTACAGCCAAAAAAAAAAAAAAAAAAACCTTTCCAAAAAACCCCAAATAAATAAAGCTGGCATAATACAAGATACAAATGACTTATGGTGAAAGTGTTATGTGGGAAAAATGGATAACTAAATACTGAGAAAACATTAATGGATAAAAATAACAATATTACCTTAAGTAGGCACTTAAAGTGAAAACTGATAGAACTACAAGGAGAAATTGATAAATACATAAGGAAAAGCATGTCAAATAGAAAGTACAAACTAATATGCTTATAAAAGTGTGTTAGAGTGATTTGAGAAATCATATTGGCAAAAACATAGAAAACCGAACTTTACAATGAACAAAACTGTCTATGAGACAAGTGTAGACCGCTGCATTGATAATTAATTCGGTTTCTGTAAAACACAGAACAGTTGGGAAAATTGTTCATATAAAAACTACAAACAAAGCCAATCTCCACAAAGCACATTCTCTGGGGCCGGCAGGTGGCATGGAGGTTGAGGTGCTGTATCCCAGATGGCTGACTCTGAGGTTCAAGTCCCAGATCTGGTAGCTTGAGAATCATGCCAGACGTGTGTGTGTGCATGGCCAAAATTCTGAGAGGAGACTCGAGGAGGAGGATTATGGCGTGTCCATCCCCCTGGGTGGGGGGGTGATTTCTCACTTTCCCTCTCTCTTTCTCTGTGTCTCTCTGGCAAATGCATGAGCCCTATAGTAAAACATTTTAAAAAAGAAAACAAATCACATTCTCTGATCATAATGTGTTAAGAGAAATAATAAAAGGTCATATTGGAAAAAATTCATTCATTTATTTTAATTTGACCAGAGAGAGAGACAGAGAGAGAGAGAGAGGAAGCGAGAAAGCGAGCCACCGGGTCTGGGACTCAAATCACAGTCAGCCAAGTGGGAGTGTCCAGCACCTTAACCACCACACCACCTGTCAGCCCTATGTTGGAAAATTTAAAACAACTTATATATAATGAATGCACCAAAGGAAAAAGTATCATAAAATTCAGAATTAGGTGATAATGAAAACAGTAAATGGCAAAACATGTGGAATGCAACTAAAAGGAAATTTCATTCTTAAGTGCACAAAATACCAAAACATAAAAGCTAAAAATGGATCGACTGATTTTAACGCAAGATGTTAGAAAGAACAGGATAAAGTCCAATACAGTAAAATGTTCTCCAAACACACAAATTAAAAGTTTGACAAGCACAGTTAAGAAAAAGTAGACAAAGTACAAACAAAACAACCTTAGCAAGGAAAACCGGTGAAACCCCAAATACGACTGAGAAGTCAAAGGGGGGCTGTAATCTGGGCTGCGCCATCTCCTCTCTTAACCTTTTTTGTGACCTCTGAGCTGCAGTTAGCTCACACGCAGCATGAAATGGTCGCTGTGCAGTGCCTACTCACAGGGACCCTCAGCAAAGCAACCCCCTCCTCTCCCCTCAAGTCTCATTAGCGACTGTGAAGAATGAAGACAATAAAACAACCCAAAATGTGAGATTCGTAAATTATTCATCTTCTATTAATATGTAGGCAGTCCTATTCTCTAACCACAAGATTACACTGAAATTGGCCATAATTTGTTTAAAAACGTGTTCTTACCTGCCAAAATACATTCTTGAGTGTATAGAAGTCCATATCCAAAGCAGCCATAAATATAATTAAAGGTGAAAAATAACAAAAAAGTGAGAAACTTGGTGTTCTCAGAAGAGCGTAGACAATTTGGTGCACCTAAAATAACAAAAAGCAAAAATGAAATTTGTCTGCTGCCATTTGCAAGTATTATAAATTACATTGCTTTTATGCCAATCAATATAAATTTTAGAATAGTCTCATTTCCAACTAATGAGAGCTTGTCTATGAAGCCAGTTCTGAGGGACCAAAGGCAGAGTTCTTGACCTAGCCATCAGGATGAGTCTACATAGTCCTCTATCCCCAGAGAACGGGGCAAATTTGGCTACACAGATAGTGCCTGTGTAATGTAATTGGTATTTTCAAAAGTGATAGTACCCTCACACCAGTGGTGATACCTGAGATGATGTGAGGTGATTCAGAAATGTTTTTTATTTTTTGTTTTTGCTTTTGTTTTGAGAGAGATTTTTGCCATAGGGCATGTACGTTCACTGGAGAGACAGATAGACAGAGCAAAAGAAAGAGAGAAATCACCTCTCAGGGGGATGGCCATGCCACAATCCTTTCTCCTCCATTCTCCTCTTGGGATTTTGGGCATACACACGCACACATGCCCAGTGTGAGTTGGCTTTTTTTTTTCCTTTCTTTTTTGGAGAGGTTTTTGCTAAAGGGCAAGTGCGCTCGTCAGAAAGACAGAGAGAGACAGAGAGACAGAAAGCAAGAAATCACCCCCCCAGGGAGGATGGCCACACCGCAATCCCTTCCCCTCCTTTCTCTTCTCGGGATCTCGGGCACGCACACACACGTACCTGGCGTGAGTTTAAGCCACCAGATCTGGGACTCGAGCTGTGGTTGACTACATAGGAGTCCAGGGACACAGCCATTACACTAACTGCTGGTGTCTCCCCTGGTGTGAGTTTTAAGCTGTCGGGTTTGGGACTCAAATGTATTAATTATATGTAGTACCTCAACAAAATGGAAGATTAACTACATGGAAGTTCAGCAACTTTACCTTTTTTTTTTTTAAGAAATATTTTATTTAACTTTATTTATGTATTTAATTTGACCAGAGAGAGACAGAGTGAGCGAGCGAGCGAGAGAGAGAGAAAGGAAGCAAGCTACCAGGTCCAGGACTCCAACCATGGTCGGCCATGTGGGAGACCAGCGCCCTTAACCACCACACCACCTGCCAGCACACGGCAACTTAACCATTACGCCATTACGCCATCTGCCGTTCCCTTTTTATTTTTATTATTTTATTTTTTGGTTTTAATTTGACTGCTAGATATTTATTATATTTTAATTTGCATTAGGCAGAGAAAAGGCTTTTTGCTCAGGTACTTGTTTCACAGATATTTGCTTAAGATTTCATAAACTGGTAGTGGGTTAGTAGCAGGTTGAGTATAGAAATCATAAATTATGAGGCCTGAACCTAGATTACTGGGAAACGCAACAATAATGATTGAAGTGCTATCAATACTCCCACTTAAAAAGTTGACTGAGGCTGAATCAAAAGTCTATCCTTCGTTATGTAACCTCTCTGTGCCTCAGATTCCTCATCTGTACAATGGGGATAGAGCGCCTTTCCACTGCACTGCCGTGAGAATGAATGAACTTGAGAGTTAGTTAATTAATTGATATAAAGTGCTTAAAATAACCTAGCAGATAGTAAACACTGAAAAATATTAGCAAGTCATAGCGATGTTATTTCCCGAAACTAAGAAGAGACTTTTACCATCCTGGAGAGGAACAAGCCTTATTTCCATTTTTTTAAAAAAACAAAGGAATGAGTATAGGCAAATCATGACTGATCACACTACTACACAGTTGAAACTCAAGATTATAAAAACGGGAGAACATGGACCTGATGGGAAGAAATTATGAAAAGGTGAATTCTGACTTCTATCGCTAGAATCACTGCAGGTATTAAAGACAGTGGGCAGGAAGAAGCCTCCGGCCCGTGCACAAGGGGAGGAAAGAGAGCAAACCTCTAAGGGCAGGTGTGAAGAACCCAAGGGTGCAGGCAAATGTTTCTTACTTCCAAATTGCTTTATCTTAAGCCTCTCTGATTTACATCTCCTTTATTATGTAGTTTTCATTTTCAAATTGTTTTAATACCAGATGAAAATTTAGAGTAGCATTCACATGGAAACCATTCCACACATTCGGGGGTGGGGTAGAAGGAGACCTTGCTGTTGCCGTTTGTCCTCTCATTTGTTCTCGAATGTATTAGTTACATATAGTACCTCAACAAAATGTAACGCAAAGTGTCCCAGCACAAAGCCGCACAGAGAAATAATTGTAAAGACAATGGCTTCAGAATTCTTCAAAACCATCTTCAATATCCCTAAAGAAATACATGTGTTTGTTATTTGTACATCATTTACAGTTTGACAGGAATTTCATTAATGCCCCCTCTTTCTAATCACTTCATTCTAAACGCCTGAGCGCCGTATCATTATGGATGAATAATTATCAGCTGGTACAAATGTTATCCATTAAGTGAAAGATGCACAAAATGAGGCCTATCTCTCACAGATGAATTTGCCACCCAGTGGCAAATGAGGGTCACTGTGTGGGTAGCAATGGATCTGATGGTGAGAAATGATGAAAAGTAAAACTTCAGGGGACCAGCAGTTAGCATAATGGCTATGTCGCTGAACTCCCATGTAGTCGACCACGGTTCGAGTCCCAGACCCAGTGGCTTAAACTCACACCGGGCGTGCGTGCGTGTGTGCCCAAGATCCCAAGAGGAGAATGGAGAAGGGATTGTGGCATGTTCATCCCCCCTAGGGGGGTGATTTCTCGCTTTCTGTCTCTCTGTCTCTCTCTGTCTTTCTGGAGAGCGCATGTGCCCTATAGCTAAAACCTCTTCAAAAAAATAAAAAAAGTCAAACTTCATATCTACATAGTACATCTTATATTAATTACAAATCCTAAACTACAATATTGTATGTTCTATAATTTTCCTAAAAGCCAGAAATTTTTCTTTTTTAATTTTCTAGAGGGCAGGTGTGCTTACCTGAGAGAGACAGAGGAAAAGTGAGAAAGCACCCTCCACAGGGACGAGTCATGCTGCAACCCCTTCTCCTCTCTCTCTCCCTCCTGTTAGGATTTTGGACATGCATGCATACTCACCCAGTATGTTTTTCAAGCCGTTGGGTCCAGGACTCAAACTACACTGTCAGCCCTGTGGGATCCAACCACCCCAACCACCATGGCACTGTTGGCCCCAGAAATAGTTTGGACTGAGCTCTACCCACAGGAAAAACTGCTTTCAGCCAAAGGAGTAATAAAAGGCACTGGTTCTCTTTTTGTCTTGAAACTGTATTTTAGGGTGACATTCCCTCCAGAGGCAGCGTGTGGACTATAGTCCACTTAATGCATGCCTGGGGCAAGACTCACTGGCATCTCAGAGCCTCCATTCTCTCTCAGCTAGAGGTGAAAACCAAACCAGTAAGTCATTTATCGAATGCTTCTTATGTGTAGAGTCAGATCATGTTTCCACGTTCTATGCACGCCCATTACCGCTGGAGCACTTATCGCTATGTAATCATACAGGTTCTGGGGGAGTGAAATTCACAGATGCCAGCACCCGGTGGCACCGAGGGACGCAAGGGTCGTTTGTGTTTTAAAGACCCCCAGAGGGAGCAATTTCACCCCATACAACGCCGATACAATACCAACATGCTGGGTAAAACTGAAGAAGTTCCTTATGCACATTTGCTTCATTATCTGTTCCTTTATAGTCTTCCTAGGTCCAGAATCAATTTTAAAGTAGCTGACAATTTTTCCCCCAAATACATTTCCTTTTACAGGAGTCTAGAAAGGTTTTAATGCTAATCACTGGCACCGAATTGAGGAGGAAAACCTCTGTGCTGTTGAATACATTTCTTTAACTGAGAAAGAGAGGAAGAAACCACACCCTCGGTGGGGTGTGGTCATGCTACAATCCCTTCACCCCAGTCCTCCATCCTGTTGAGATGTGGGGTATGCACGTACACGTGCTAAGTGTATCTTTCAAGCTACTGGGGCCAGGATTTGAACTGCGGCTGGTCATATGGGAATCCAGCTCTCTTAACCACGAGGCTACGGGACCAGCCTATACCTATGAAATTCTTTATTGTGAAGCCTTTCCTAATTGCCTTCTAGGGGATGGAATGGGTGGTTCCTCTTCCCTGAAGAAAAGTTGCACCAAAGGCAAGATTAATGACATAAACTATGAAAATTATGAATCATATTTCTAAGCTCTGTTTGTCTATTTGTTCTAACTTTCCTTCCCTTGGCTCAAGATTCCTTGGTCAGGTTAGGCCTAGGCAGAAGGGCAGAGTAAAATCTCTCCCTCCTTGTTACCGGAGAATCTTGGCCTCATCTGCATAGTTATACTTCATCACACTGTATTGTAATTATTTATTTATCTGGCTTAATCTCACATTCTTCCCATGTCACCATGCTCGGTAAAGATTACCAAATGGAGGGATATAGAATAGATGCTGCCTATAATAAATGAAGCTAACTGACAGCTTTCACCCATGACTTGTATTCAGATTTTATTAGTCCCCTTTTGATGCAGTTCTGACCACTTTTCACACTGAGAAAATGTTCAAAGGACAAAGAGGTGGTTTTTGTTAGTTTTGTTTTTTAGAGATTTGTACCAGGAAGCATGTACTTGCTGGAGACACAGAGAGAGACAGACAGAAAGTGAGAAATTACCCCCCATGGGAGATGACCGCACTACAATCCCTTCTTCGTTCTCCTCTTGGGATCTTGGGCACACATGCACACACACACACATGGCCAGTATGAGCTTCAATCCATCAAATCTGGGATTCAAACCTTGCTCAGCCATGTGGGAGTCCAGCACCTTAACCACTATGCCACCTGCTGGCTCCCAAAAACGGGTTTTTAAAACAGGGGCCAGCAGGGATCATGGTGGTGAAGGGAGCTGGACTCCCACATGGCTTACCATGGTTTGAGTCCCAGACCTGGTGGTTTGCTTTCTCACTTTCTCTCTCTCTCTTCCCATTGGCCCTTCTCTCTCTCTCACTCTGTTCCTCTCTAGTCAAATTAAATAAAGATAAATAAAAGAATTCTTTAAAAAACAACAACAAAACAATCACCTACCTCCCAAAGCAATAATGGCAAATACAAGCATTGAGAAATGGTTTCCTTCAACCAAGTAGTCAGCTGGCCTCCCGCAGAGTAAATCAGGTGTGGTACCATATTTTGATGCCCAGAAAGAAGAATTGGTTGCTTTTCCAGACATCCTTTGATGGATTCCCCTTTATCGTTATTGACGCCTTCACTACACCAGACTAACCTGTTATGATACAGGAAGAAGAACATAAGCGCTGCCAGGATCCGACTCAGCCGCACTCTTTCTACCTCAAGTCCTACCACTCAGGCCTGAACCTGTGTCTCGTCACAGGACACACTCTTATTCTACCTCTTGCTCTAAGGACATTTTCGAACAGTGGTGTGTGTGTTTCTTCCTCAGACCACTGCGTGCATGTGGGACAGGGAGCCAGTTGACTTGCACTCATCATTGGGAGGATATGGCAATGCGACTGCCCTTCCGTTGGGCCGTGAGTTTCAGCCAGGGCTGAATCCTTGCTCCCCTTCCTGTCCGTGCACACGGTCCGGGGCTCAGGCAGGCTCTCCACAGATGTCAGAAGAGCTGAACTCTTTGAGAAGGAAGGACAAAGGACAAATGCTTCGTTCATGTTTTCCTGCCAGTACAAATCATTCTGGGATTCGACTTGATGACTGCAATCCCAATACCCCTCTTTCCTCTCTTGGCCCCCTCCAAATCCAAGATGGCAAATGGGAAACAAGGTCAAAGTTGAGACACGCCAGTTAAAGTTGGAGGTGACAAAAGGGGGTGAATAACTTAAAAACAAAGGCAAAGACTAAGCTTGAGGTTTGCTCATATGGTACTTTTGAGCAAATCTGAAAAATAACCCTTTCCTAAGAGCAGGGAGGGCTGACAATAAGATTCCTAGCTCACATGTGAGTAAGAGGCTGGATTTCAGCCCCTGAGCCCCTCTTCAGGAGGTCCCTAATGTAGGACAGAGCCTGAACAAGCCTACATGGCAGTCCTGAGAAAGACTCGTTCTGTTCTACTTCTCCTTGAAGGTGGTCTTAACCTCCAAAGTCCTAGAGGTTCCTGAGACGCCCTCGGTAACAGCCACAGTGTATCTTTGGCCTTTGTTTTGCACTTGTTTGGTCTACAAGTGACTGATTCGGGTGTGAAGGAGGAGGATGGGTCAGAAAAGAAGTTCAAAGCGCTTTCTCTTCAACCCCTTCCCCTGTCTCTCAGAAAGCTCTAGAGGTTCACGGCATCTTTTAACTCTGTTATCCTTACGTGTTAATGCGCTCCTCAAATCAAGTTCTTCTCTAAATGACCAAGCCCGGAAATATCTTCTTCCAAGCCCAAGCTGCTTCAGACCTGAAATCAACATGAAGGCTCTCAGAATCCCAGAGAACACTGCTCCGCTCTGCCTCTGCCTGCCGGGAACCGTTAACTGGTTAATGGTTCAGCCCACCGACAGTGCCAGCAACAGTCATGTCCATGCTACTTGCCATTGGTTGCTTGCCACCCTGCTTTGTTCTGATTGGCTAAGAGCATTATCTCCACCCCCAATCCGGAAGAAGCATGGTGATGTCATTCCAGTGAAGCTTGCATTGCCTTACGTTGTGTGTGTCTACACCCTCTACACTCTACACCCACAACTGTTGTAACTGATTTCCTTTGCCTGACATACACTGAAATGCTCAAAGATATTAACCATGTAGACAGGATCTTATTGTTGTTGTTGTTGTTGTTTTCTTGGTATATTTACTATTTTCTTTTTGATGCTAACCCTATCCAATTTAGGCCTAAGCCTCTTCTACACTGCCCCCTCTCTCTTCTGGTCTCTGCTTTTTAAATTTTTGCCATAGGGCATGTGAGCTCACTGGGGACAGACAGACAGAAGGAAAGTGAGAAATCACCCCCCAGGTGGGATGGCCATGGAGTAATCCCTTCTCCTCCAATCTCCTCTCCAGATTTTGGAAATGTGCCTGGCATGAGTTTCAAGCCTTGGATCTGGTAGGTGGCATGGTGGTTAAGGGCACTGGACTCCCACAAGGCCAACCAAGGTGCGCGGAAGCTGGTAAGGCTTCGCGTTTCCAGGAGGAGAAGGCAGGATCAAGTAGGAGGGGACGACGTACGTGGAAGTGCAATCCGCACTGCCTGCCACGCTTTCCCCTTCTCCGAGGGCTTTTTGTGGAAACTGGGAAAGGGATCCTCAGCACCTAGAGAGAGAGCAGTGAGCAAGTCTCCCTTCCACTCCCCACCGGCGCCTCATGCTCCCACGCTTCTGGCTTCGGCCACAGCTGGGTTCACTGCCTGCCTGGGCCCTTCTTGCATCCTCGTCTAATGACAGCGCAGCTTCCCCTGTGCGACTTTTATTCCTCACGAGGGTCAGATGCGGTTGGCGCACACCTGAGCAGTGTGGAGTATCCCATCCGCGTGCTCTCAGCTCTTGGGACCTGATTTATGGCGGCCACCAGGGCCACTGCGGATCCTTAGGTCCCAGGACCGCGCCCGCCTGCTCCCGTGCCACTGCTGCATTTCTGCCTTGCGTTCTCATGATAATGATTTTCCTCCCTCCCAGAGCCCTCTGCATTGTGTCTAGGGGCTCTGACTTCCGCGGGCTGCAGGCTTGGGTCTGATCTTTGACTACATTGGTCCGAGCCAGCTGTTGGATTTCACAGGTGAGGGTATGGTTTTTTTTGTTTGTTTTTGTTTTGTTTTGTTTTTGAGAGGTTTTTTGCTATAGGGCACGTGCGCTTGCCAGACAGACAGAGAGAGACATAGAGACAGAAAGTGAGAAATCACCCCCCCCCCAGGGGGAATGGTCATGCCGCAATCCCTTCTCCTGCATTCTCCTCTCAGGATCTTGGGCACGCACGCACACATGCCCAGCGTGAGTTTTAAGCCACCGGGTCCAGGACGCGAATCACGGTTGACTATGTGGGAGTCCAGCAATATAGCCATTACGCTAACTGCTGGTTCCCACAGGTGAGGGTTTTGGTGGAACTCAGCCGTTTGTGATTCTTTCCTCCGTTGGCTTACCTGAGGTCCTTCCTCCTACTTCTCTAAACACTGGGGGTCCTGTGAGTGGCTTGGGCTTAGTTCCCTGAACTCGGGCCTTTCCCTGGCTCATTACCACTCTGCAGAGGCAACAGCTCCGTGCCAAACCCAGCGTGGTTCTCCTCTGTGCCTTAGGTGATGGGAATGCTACAGGGGCAGGGGCAGGGGCAGGTGAGGGTCCTGGGACCCTGCACTTCAGTGAGCGCTGTCAGGCCCCTGAAGGTGAGACACTGTCAGCCAAGGTTGGGCTGCACCTGGTGAAACAACCATCCACGATCACTTGGGCCTTGGCTGTACACGATGGGACTAAGGGGCAGGTCATGCCCAGGCCTACCTCTCTGCCAAAGGATTTGAAATGCGTTGATGCCAGCCTCCCAGTTGCCACGCTGTGGATGCGTGTGCCATCCTGACAGAGCTGGCAGGAGGCCGCCCCTTTTGGAGGAAAACCCTTTTCCTGAGAACGGAGGAAAGGAGGGCTGGGGTTTTCAGGAGAAGCATCTTAAGGACCCGGAACAGACTTGATTGAGTGTGTCGTTTAGCCTGTGGACAATGCAGAATTGTTAGAGTAGGCCTGACCTCGGACACCTGAAAGGAAGAGAGCCAGGCAGTTGGTGTGTCACCCAGGACAGAGTTCCCGAACCTCTGGACAAATGGCATTTGGAACCCGTACTCCTTTGCTGTGGGGGCCTGGCCTGTGCATTGTAGAGCCAGTATTCCTGACTTCTGTCCAGTAGACTAGGGCCACCCCGGTTGTGACACTCAGACATCTCGACGTTTGCTCTGAAGGACACAATTGCCCTTGGTTAAGAGAACCACTGAGGTAAGACTCTAAAAACGGTCCCCCTGTGCTGTCAGGGGCCTCTCTGGGACCTGCAGGTGAGTGAGAGGTTCAGGCAGAAGACAGTGTTGTGCCCCTGCCCTAAACAAGCGGCAGAAGCTGGGTAGTTGGGCATTAAGGAGACCTCACCTGTGCACCTGGGACAGCCGTGAAGCCTGCCAGTGGAGATGGAAGGGAGAAACCCGGGGGCATTTGCTGTGTCTGCGGGTACATGGCAGTGACAGGCTGGGTTTTGTGCAAAGGAGTGAAAGACTGACAGTATCTGTCTCTAGGAACTTGCAAGACTTTGGGGATTGCCCATTACGTAGGTATGGACCAGTTTTTAAATAGTGAGCAAACTAGTTTAGGCTGCCTGTAATGCTGGTCAGGTATCCACAAGTGCCTTTTCCACGACGATGCCTTACTCTTCCTCAAATGTTGCTCAGACATCTCTGAGTCTGATGAGGTGGGAGGGGCCAGGCCTGTGGCTTTAGAGACAAAGATAGCCATTCTTTCTGTGCCAAGAAAGATGCTTTACTTCTGAGTCTAGATTTTTGCCTTCAGTGTAACCTAGAATTTCTGCCCCAAACTTCTAAGTCTCAAACAGACAGGTAGGCAGAAATGCTATAAAACAGTGAAGGAAGCTGAGGAGATGTGAGCAGGGGAAGTGGAGAGAGGGTTTCAGGGCAGTGAGTGGGCCCCATAGGAAACCCTGTGGAAAGTGGATGTGGGGGCGGACTGAGGACACCCCCTGACTCCAGCAATCAGGGGTGGCTGGAGGCCAAGGCAGACAGCACATGCCGAAGGAGCAGAAAGACGGCAGGTGCACTCTGTCCTTGGGAGACGTTGGCTGTGGCCAGAGGCTGGCGGAGGAGCGGAGTCTGCAGGAGGGCTTTATATTTGGTATGTGGGGAGAGCTGGGGTGGGTGTGTGGCTCGGGGGGGAAGACCTTGTGAAAGGAGAGTGAAGACCAAAGAAGAGCGAGGTCCTGGTCATGGGCAAGGTGCTCTCCGGGGAAGGAGGGGACTGGTCAGTGTGGGAGGAGAGGGAGGGTAGGAAAGGCTGGGGAAGCGTCTGAGACAGGGACAAGAATCTGAGGGTGCCCACATTTGATGGCCCCTGTACTGGGGAAGCAGAGGTGTGCCGTGGAGAGTGAGGTGACGGGGACAGGGTGGGCTGGGTGGGGCTGCAGAGAAAGCCCGGCCTGTGCTCTGTCGCAGGTACCCTTAGTGCCCTGCTCCTGTCACCCTCCGAGGGGCTGGCTGTCTGCCACAGGAGTGAGCGAGTGTGAGAGTGTGAGCACGTGTGAGCGGAAGGGAGGTGGGGAGGTATTCCCCGGCGGTCTGAGAAGGACCAGCCTTCCTCTCACCACCTCTGCTTTGTTCACTGGACCTTCTCGGAGGTGTGTTTCCTGAGAGAGCGGCTGTAGGATTTCCAGGTCCACCTTGGTGAAGACAGCGCAGGTGGCATGGGGTGTCTTTCCCTCACCTCTTGCTATTTTCATAGAATGTCGGGAAAGGTCAGTGCCTGAATCCCTTTGAGCACCGTTCTTTCTGGACCCCAGTAAAGCCCAGTTTTCGGAACACCCCTGTGTGCTCTCCTTGTGGACTTGTTGCGCTCCAGGGAGCAACAGCCCTGTCCTCCCCTCTGGGAACTGGGGATCATCTGGGTCAACCTTCTCTTTTTACACACGAGGAAGTGAGGAAAGGGAGGCCTAAAGGAGAGGAGCGGTGTGCCCAAGGTCACCTGTGGGATGTGCCTGCACCCAGCCCAGTACTGTCTGTGCAGGGCTGAGCACACTGTTATTTTATAAGAATGATTTGGAAGTTATTCTAGAATGTAGTCCCTTTCCTTAATCTAATGATTCGCCTTTTATTTATTTATTGTAAATAGCCATTGCGTTAGCTACCCATGACATCGTTGAGCACGCACTTACTACAGTCTGGGCACCGAGCACAGGCTTCCTATTCCTAATCTTCCAAACAAATTTCACTTTGTATTTAATATTTCAGTGCTAGAACTAATTGCCACAGGCTTTGTGGCTTTAACCAACACAGATTTATTATCTCACAGTGTTGCAGGTTGGAAGTCTGAGTGGGTCTCACTGGGCTAAGACGGCTAAGATCAAGGCGTGAGGCGGCCTGGTTCCTTCTGGAGGTTTCAGAGCAGAGGTTCCCGTCCCATCTAGAGGCTGCCCACATTCCTTGGCTTGCAGCCTCTCCCTCAGGATGGCACCTTTCTAACCCCTGCTTCTGTCTCACATCCCTCTGACTCTCTTCTTCTAAGGCCTCTTGTTACATTGGGCGCCGGATAATCTCTGGGTCGGGATCGCTACCTTGGATCAGGGTCACATCCACCAAGTTTCATGTGCTGGTAACGTATCCACAGGTTCTGAGCGCTGAGACACAGACATCCTTGGAGAGCCGTTATTCAGCCGACCACGGCCACCCTCGGTATTCTGGCCTAATTAAAAGTCAGTCCCTTAAAT